AATTTTTCAAGCGTCAGAAATTGCAACGACAACAAAGCTTTTTTGCGTTTTTGTACTTAAATGGCCATCATCGGCTGAAATTTGCCCTCAGAGTGAAAAAATGCCCCTTTCTTGAAAAAATTGTGCACACACTCCCGGCCATTCTTTCCTTTTCTTCTCGCAATGCACTGTAAAGACTTGTTTTTTTTTTCGAAATTGCAAAGGCCACACACTTTCCAATTTGACTGGGCAAGGTGAGCTAGTTTCAACACCGGTAACCAGAACCACTGATCATTATACGGTTTTGCAAATATGCAAATGCAAAAATGCATATTGTGACGACCTATGGTTTTTTCAAGCTACGTACCTTTAAAAAGTCTCGGGAATGCGCATTCTTGGATTGCAAGCGAATGGAAATCAACATGTTACATGTCACTTGATCCGCTTTTTGATATGTAAATGAACAATGCATTATCACGCGATTATGTCTGCAAGAGCATTTGGACACTAACATGTTCCAAAGGTGCCTGCCATGCGCTCGAAAATTCAGTTTTGCGATAAGTTTCTCTAGACTCAAAGTAAATGAAAGCGCCACTTATTTCGACAGGATGACTTTTTGATCCAACTGGCACAGTTAGTGCATCAAAGTTCAAGTTATGGATTTGTTTGTTAGTAAAAATTAGCACCAGTCCGGGAAAACTGAGGTATTGGTTCAGAATACAAGCTGACTTCGTGTCATTCATTACGCTTAAAGTCTTCTTCACAGTACGATACTGTAATTTTAATGATTTTTTATGGGTGTTTAGTCTGGTTTTTGACTTAAATTACACTAATGGGGTTAAGTGAACCCGAAATAGCCCAGTGGTTTATGCAGCACCAACATGGAATTGTAATTTTAAGCCCAATTCAGCTTGACTTATGACTTATAGTTTAATAAAAATTCGAATTTATCACCACCATGTTTTTTGGCTCAATTTTCAGCATCAAGTTTAAATTCAGACTGGTAACTGCGAGCTTCATTGGTAAAGCTGAGGATATCGGGGTAACATAGAATAATCGTACTCAGTGAAGTTGTAGGTTATTTTGTTGGGCGATGACAGTGAAATATAATCTGGATGTATCGACATCTCGCCCCTGGACCCTGTTTAAATTGCTATTTCGCTGGCGCGGAAGTGTTTGGAAATCAGTTGCATTTGAGCTTGCAGTTTGGCTGTTGATTTATTTTACTATCGGAGTCATTTATCGCAAAGCTCTGCCGTATCAGCAAACCAGGTATCTTTTGCATCCCTATCTCCTCTTTTCCAGTAGCAGATTTAGCTCTCAACGAGGTGCAGAATGCAGCACATACAACGAATCACAGAAAAGTAGCAGCAGAAAATTTTAAAAAATAATCAAAAAGAAACTTGCAGGGATTTTGAAAAGTTCGCGCATTATTTGGATGAAAAGATGGGTCATATCCCGCTTGATTTCATGCTCGGCTTTTTTGTCACATCTGTTCTCAATCGCTGGGTTACTTTTTTCAATAACATTGGATACATTGACAAGTTAGTTTTTATCCGCTTTGTCTAAACAAGACGAATTCGACAAATAAAAATTGCAGCTTATGAACAAAAATGAACATTACATAATTACATGCATGCCTCCGGAATTTAGTAAATTTCAGGTCAAGCAAAATCGAAGTTAGTTGCAAATTTATCCCCCGTTCAGAAATTTCAGTCAAATGCCTTTTTCGTTAGGTTTGCAGTTATAATTCGTTGAAAATATCCAGAATTTTGTCAGCTTTGAAGCTCCGTCATAACATCAACATTTTCTGAAAAAAAAGAAAAAAGACATTTTTGTTAACCAAATAACCCACTCAACCACTTGCCTTGTTGCAGTCTGAACAGAACTGACATTATAAAGACAATTACGGTAACAGTACTTCTCGCCACTGTTTCAGCTGGCAGCATCTTCATTCGTCTCTGTTTTGCGCGTCTCTCATCAACAAACTTCTATGCAGCCATTCAGTGAATCATTTCACCGCACCACTGGCCTTCCCTTTGTTCTTTTAATGGGTGCCGTACAGTAACCTGCCTTGTTCGTCGGTTGGCCCTCATTTCCGCCACATGCCTAGCCCAAATTTTTTTGCTGGCACAGTTGGTGCGTGATGGACCAGAACCACAGTTCAGGAAAAGTGCTGCAACTTGGTAGCACCTACCACACGTCGTTTCATATATCTCACAGGGTCACCACAAATTTTTGATCCTCAAAGCGGCAAATATTCTGGGCTTGACTTTTGAAAAATAGAAGTGTAAGAATAAAGTTTGATAACTTGACAAACGCTATCATTTTGCTCTTTTTACACAGTTTAACTCCAGACTCAGATCGTCATTTACTTACATCGCTGGTCCCAGCTAAAGCTCAAAGAACTGATTCTCCAGTTACATGTCGGGGTGGGATTAATGTGTGTTTTCAATCATTCAATTTTTTCGCCGCGAATTTGAACTATATTTCCCTTCTAGCTGGTTGCAAGCTCATTTAGTAAATTCCGCAACAACTGCTGGCTTTCTATGATAAGTACAATGTCTTCTACCAAAATAAGTATTTGGACCGTTTCACCGTCGATACAAAATTCTTCCATGAAGAAAGCACTACTTTCCTTGTTATTACAATTACTTAAACGATTCAGTTAGTTAAGGTGATAACGACGTGGCGTTTTGTAGCGTAGCACTGATGACTGCCGCGTATGTGCGTGGTGAAGATGAAAGAATGCGTAAAATGCGTCGCAACATCGTTCGATTCTGCGTGCTCGCGCAAGCACTGGTTTTTCGCGACATTAGTATGAAAGTGCGCAAACGATTTCCAACATTGGATGCGGTCGTCGCAGCTGGCTAGTTTTCTTTTTTTTTTCCACTCGAAGTTACGCCTTGAAGCCATTTCATTTATCTTAAAAGCTGGCCTCTGATCAAATCATAAGCAAAAATTGTGTTCCGAGTTCAAGCAATGCTTTTAGCTTATCGCCTTCTATTTTAATTTTATTATTCCATGAAATTTCTCGGCTAGCATAGCCAGCCAGGAAGCAATTGTCCACTTTTTCCAAAGCTACTTGTGTAATTCTTACAAATTTGTAGCGTGCAGCGGTCACCAAGTTTCAAGTTGTTTTTAATACTTTATTGACAAAATGTTATTTAAAATGATAATTTGGAATGATAAGAAGAACCTTTTATGTGATTTTTCAAGCTAAAA